AAGACAAGACAAAAATTCTCTTATTGCCTAAGATCCCTGAAAAATATTGAAGGCTCAAAAAATAGCCTTTGCCCCTCCCTGCCTAAAGTAACTCAGCTTAAGAATTGAGTCCATCTTTGCAGGTTAAAAGATAAACACTTGGGAAAGAAAGCAAATTCTTTGCTTAATGCCCTTTTAAAATGTCCCCAAATCAGGTCACTATACTGAAGCATTATTACAGAATAAAACTGCATTAATAAAGATCTATTTTCTTTTTTCCCTATCCCTTATCCATCTGTAAGAATAAATCCAGCAGCTCCACCACCAAAAAGCTGTAGGGGTCTGAAGGTGTCCTACATGGGGTCACAAGACCCTCCATCACCATAAGAAGCCCTGCACTGCAAAGCAAGCTCAGGGTCCTTCATGAGATCAGTTAATTTATACAAATCCAAGCAAATAAGGAATAAAGACCTTTAATTTGGCAGCTGTAGAGTAAATCTGGTGTGGCTTTTGGACCTTGCAAGACCAGAAACTCAAAACATCACCCCGTGCTGCTCCTGGCCCAGGTAGCTGCCAGCTCTGCACACGGATTCCCACAGAAGCCAAACATACGGCGGCACCGCGGGAGCGAGCGGCGCGGAGGGAAGGAAGGAAGGACAGGGGGAAGGAGGTCCCTGGGATGCCGGAGGGGGTAGAGTCGCTTGCAATGCCTTAGGAGGTGTTTCAAGGGCAACCTTCTGTGGCTGTTGGAGTTTGTAGGCAGCGTAATCAAAAGCTCAATACTGTTTGATTTATTCTGTTAAGGTGCTGGATTTATACTCCTGCTCTGGAAGGAAATTAAGCAGCCTATCAACGGAGAGGGCTTTTGGGAAAAGACTTGGTGGCTTCATCTTAAAAAGGACACTGTCAAGGTTGGGAGCTCTACGAGGGAGATGAGATGATCCCTCCGCTGGCTCCCATCCCTGTTAGTTCTCAGCACACTGCTCATTACCCCTTTTCCCTTCTCCAGTGTTACCACTCTCCCAAAATTAGGGTGTTTAATTAAAAAAACTCATCCAGGGGAAAAAAGGAAACACCCTTCTGGAGCCCGTGTGCCACCGCAGAGCTTGGTGTTGCAGAGGTGTTGGATGTCAAGGTTCTGCCTCCTTGGGGCAGGGGTGACCCCAACCTCCAGAGGGTAGGCATCAAGTATTACACCATTTTACAGAAAAGAGGCAAAACAAATGGGCTGTGTGACAGTGCAGCTTTTCCAATATCCCTGCTCATCTTTATACTCTCTTGTATGACCAAGATTCTTTATTTTTGCATCTGCAGCCAGGCACTGGCTGCCTTCCTGGCAGCAACTGAGCGTCCTCGCTGTCTTGCAGCCTCCTGACTCCACTGCAGCTCCACCATGCTCCCTTGGTGGCTTCTAACAGCCTGCATGTCACCTCTGCTAACCCTACAAGTGATACACACTGAGCAGTGAAGCAGTCCAGCCTGACTCTATCCATAGGGTTTTGCCTCCAGCAGCACTGCTCTGAATTCCAAGAAACATACAATGGTTTGGGTTGGAAGGAATCTTAAAGATCACCCAGTCACAAGCTCCTGCCATGGGCAGGGACACCTCCCACTAGGCCACATGACTCCAAGCCCTATCCAAACTCGCCGTGAACACTGCCAGGGATGGGGCAGCCACAGCTGCTCTGGGAAACCTGGGCCAGGGTCTCACCACCCTCACAGCAAAGAATTTCTGCCTCAGATCTCATCTCCATCTCCCTCCCCTCTTGCAGCTTCAAACCATTCCCCCTTGTCCCATCTCTCCCTGCCCTTGCAAAAACTCCCTCCACAGCTTTCCTGTAGCCCCTTCAGCTCCTGGAAGGTGCTCTAAGGTCTCCCCAGAGCCTTCTCTTCTCCAGGATGAACAACCCCAACTCTCTCAGCCTGTCTCCAGAGCATAGCTGCTCCAGCCCTCAGAGCATCTCTGTGGCCTGCTCTGGACTTACTCCAACAGCTCCATGTCCTTCTTGTGCTGGGGACCCCAGTACTGGGGTCTCCCCAGAGTGGAGCAGAGGGGGAGAATCACCTCTCTTCACCTGCTGGTCAAACTCCTTTTGATGCAGCCTAGGAATTAAAACAACCTTGAGTGAGCTCATCTTCTGCGATGCATGGACATCAGTGTGTCATGGCATGGCTTTGGGACAAAGGACCCACACCAGAGGAGGACATCCAGCATCCATGTCCTGGGTGCAATGCCAATCTGAAAGCAAAGGAAAGGGAGGTCCACATGGACCGACCTGCTGCCCTGTGGACTCCAGGCAGGATGCTTGAAGTGATCTTCTCCCTACTGACCTCCACACGACCCTGGAGCCATCAGTGGCCTTTTCTCCTCCTCGCCCAGTGAGCGACCAGGCACAGTTCAAGGGCTCACAACACTCAAACCACCAAAAAAAAACCTTTTGCGGGACGGACAAAGGCTGAAAAATTAACTGTCTGGCCTCTTCCTCCGCGGCATTTATTGCTGTCTTGGCAGAGGAATTTCAGGTTGATGCCACAGCCGCAAACCGCTTGTTCTGCCAACTGTACATTACTAACGTTGGAAGGTGTCCAGCCCTCAGAATCTTTTCTAAAAGCATTTGCTTCATACTTTAAATAGCAGCCCAGCAGGCAGGGGGATGGGAGGGAGGGCTCAGCCCCTGCCTGCATCCATCTGCAAGCTTCTGCCGGCTCCTCCACCTCTTTTGAGGGTTAAAACTGAACAACCCACAGTGGAGGTGAAGGGATGGGGCAGAGCGGGTGGGATGTGAACTCCAAACCCTCCAGGGTTGGCAGAGGGATGGATGCTCCCCCTGGGATGTCCCAGCTCCCCCAGCGCAGCCACCTGCCCCTTCCCAAGCTCCCAGCTCTGCACTTCCATGTTATTAATTAAACTAGGAACAGGATGGTGGCTGTTTTGTCATTGAAATCTGCTCTGCTATGAGATTTAGCATAATTTTCCCCCGTGCTTATACGTTTTGTTAATCTTGGGACTGAACAGTTTCATTTGCTGGGATTTCTGTGATTCTGTGATGTCCTGAATCCACTCCAACACATCACTGCAAAGTCCAAACTCTCCTGCTCCTCCCTGTTACGTGAAGTCATGTTTCCAGGAGAATTTCCTGCAGGACACATCACCACTCACAATACTTCAGCAATCAAACCACATCCTCAGCAGTTAGCAAATATTAATCAGCTTTATGGCTGAGAAACAGAGAGGAGGAAGGACACAGGCAGGGAAACACAACTTGACATACCTACAAGGGCAGAAAAGCCACAAATATTCTGTCTTTTTTGCCATATTTTCCCTACCTCCTCAGGTAAAATGCTCTCACTGTAAACTGCAAAAAACAAATACAGGTGAAGTTTCTTTTCCTCCGTAATTTGGCCCCGCACTATATAAGCCAACAACAGAGAGCAAAGCTCAAGGCATAATATTTTTAAGTAGTGCTTGTCCTAGTTAATGTTCAGCCCTGCTGTGCAATGTCAAGAAAACTAATGAACAGTGAAGTGGCACTGAGCAGGAACCTGGGCATACTCACCCGCTACCAAACTCCTTTCTAAGCCCGGCCACAAACGTGAATGAAATCTAAAAGCAGTTGTCCTGCTTCATCAGGAAGCCCAGGCAGCTATGGCCATGTGAGCTGAATGCTTTGCCACAGTGCTTGCCCCAAAATTTGGTGCCTAAAATAACAGTAAGCTGAGAGGACGTACAGCAATGCCTAGTTGTGATAGACAAGGGGTGATGGTTTTAAACTAAAAGAGGAAGATTTCGTTAGATAGAAGGAACAAATTGTTTACGCTGAAGGTGATGAGACGTTGGCCCAGGTTGACCAGAATGCTGGGAGATGCCCCATTCCTGGAATCACTCCAGGTCAAGTTGGACAGGGCTCTGTCTGACTGATCTAGTTGAAGATGACCCTGCTCACTGCAGAGGGGTTGGACTAGATGGCCTTGAAAGGTCCCTTCCTACCCAAACCATTCCATGACTCCATGGAGTGCCTGTACATGCACACCCACCTCCCAGCCACAGGGTTTGGGAAAAAAACTTCTCATTCGCTTTTAGGCACCAGGGCTGCGCTCGGAGCTGCAGCAGGAGCTCTGGCAAAGGCAACGCTTGACGGATGACGCGCTCCCAGCGCTAGCGCTGAGCGGGATTCACCTTGTGCATGAAGGACAAAGTGTTTGCACAAAGGAGAAGTTATTCAGACAAAGGACAAATTACCCAAGTATGCGAGATGGGCAGCCGGTAGCTGGCATGATGTGGAACAAGCTGGAGCCCACTTGCAGCAGCTCCAAAGGGTTGCAAGGACCTCAAGAAGTCCTACTCCTTCCTTAATACACCTCACCCCTCCTGTGCATCGCTGGAGCCCTTTGGACTTCTACGTTTCAGTCTCTAAGTTGACACTCAGGGTGAATTTTAACCTTTACAAGGCTTCTAAAGCATCTCTTCTATTTTTACTGGTTCCAGTGTCGTTACTCACCAGCGGGAGGTGGATTAATAGCCCCTCTAATCTGTTTGGTTGGCAGGAGAATGGATCTGGCAAGGGGAATGGTTCTTCACCAAGTCTTTCACAGTGTGTGGCAGAGCTGTCTGTCCTTCACCTTACCGAGTTGTAGGACGAGGTTTCAGCACGCAGCTAATCGCGGTATTGCTGATAAGCACTTAATGGGCCTGATCCTGAAAGCTTAACAACCACTTACGATTATCTTAATCTAAAGAATGATCAGGATGAATCATAAACAAAGAGTAAAGTGCCACCTTGCATCAGAAACAAAGGTGGCATCTTAAACAAGCCAAGCAAAGGAGGCAAAGCAAACCCTTCTATATTACTGTTTCCGTAAAAGCGGGAGAAGGAAAACTGTTGCCAACGGAACGATTATGTCATGGTTTTTCAGGAATTAGGTCATTATTATCTGCTGCAATTTAGTGTCTGAAGGACACCAGGAGAACACTCTTACTCGGGAGTCTCCCAACAAGCCAAGGCAGGAGGCTTCTGCCCTACCTTGCTCCAACCTCTTCATCTGCTGGATCTGATCAACCGTCTTCTTTAGGATCTTGCATTTGTCAGGTTTGACGCTCAGTGTGTCGATGTCCCCGATGTTTGCAGACAGCAGCTCTGCCAGCTCCTCTAAATATTTGTTCTCCTGTTCCCGTCGCCGCTTTTCATTGCTGTTAGAGAAAGGGGGAAAAAATTTAAAAAATCACATAACTGATTTTTTTCCTACTGCTCGGTCTAGTCACACCTGGACACCGGAAAAGAACCAAAAAATACAAGTACTGGCTGGAGCAATGACTGTGCTGTCATCTGAATATCTCCAAAAAACCTGGGAGTTCATTCAGGTTTTTGTATATTATAATGCATATAAAAATAAGAAAAATTAATGCCAAGGGAGATATATAGGGCTAGCCTGACACCCCCCAAAAAACTGACCTCTAACATTCAGGACTCTGCCTTCTTCTCAAAAATAGTTGATAGAAATGAGTTAGAACAAAAATAATAAAAATAGTTGTATAGAGTCTCTGTTTTTTTCCAGTTACTGTCGCAGTTGCATTCAGGTATAATCCTAAGTTCACACACAAGGTTAACAACATCCACTGGAGTTCACCAGCGTGAAAAGCTGAATCAACGGTGACAAGAAGATGAAAAATATTCATGAGATCAACCTTTTTGTCCCAGCAAAAGCAGCTTGTCTTTTAGCTCCCAGCTGCTGCAGAAACCAAACACTCTTCCATCAACTATTTCTAAATTTTGAGAATTGAGAATATATCATTTACGTGCTATGACATGGCCATAATTGAAGCCACTCTGGACACTGTAATGTATTCCTTTAAGAACATTATAAGCATCAAAGCCACCAGCATGAACTGTGTATATGGGAAAGACACACAGAGACATATTTTTCCGAAATAACTTCCTCTACATCAACCATGGGGTATAGTGAGGACACCTCAAAATGCCCAACACAGCTCTACTTTGCTTGCGACACCTTTGATTAGGTTGGTTTCCAATAAACCACTTAATTTTTTGTTACAATCTCCTCAGGATGCCCATCACTCTACGTAAGAAGTATTGCCTGAAAATCCCTTTATTTACAGTATATCAAGAAGCTGCTGAGATGCCTGTGGGCATGGTGAGATGTTCCTGGCCTCAAAGAGGCCCCATTGCTCAAGGAGAGGCTAAGAAAACACTGGTTACAAAAGTTGATCCTAAAAGTCTGCCTTGGTAGGAGATCTGTGTCCCACCACAGATGCCATTGGGTTGTGCTATGTGGCCAAAAAAGCTCTGCTACCAGCTAAAGGCTTCAAGAAGTTTGGTGTCTTTTATCTGCTGAGAGGGCAAACCAACCAGAGCATGAATATACCCTGATAACTCTGTAGAGACCATTTAGAAACCATATCTGTCCAAAAGGGGATGCGATACCACCAGCCTTCCCCTCTAAGGAGCTTCTCAAGTAGGCTACACAGATGTTTCTTTATTTTTTCCTAATTCCAGCCACTTTACCAGCTCCATATCCAGGTCTGATGGGAAGGTTTTGTCTCTTGGGCTTTTTTTCTGCTGCTTAAATTTGCATTCACATGAAAATATCTGATAATTGCAGGAATGAACCTCCATGATGAACTTCCTATTGCCTCCCAAGTTCACCCTGCAGCTCTTCACTTCTCCTCCTGCCTGTGTCTCTCCAGGTGTCATGACTACCCAGAGGGATGACAGGAATGACTTGTCCTACTTTAACTCAGTGAAGGAGCAGAATCAAAAAAGAAAGGAATAAAAAAAAGGCAAAGCCAGCTGCAGGTGTGGAGAGCATGAGCATGAGCCATGTTTCAACTTGGGCTTTCAGTCCCAGGAAGCCCATGAGGGAGACTTTCCATGGAAGATGCACAGTGTAGCCTGGAAACTCCTCTGCAACAGACGTAGGTGGGCACAGGAGCCCCTCACCACCTTGGCAGGCAGCTGCACGCAGGTGCTAAGGGGGGGACAGGCAGCAAAAACAGCTTCATAGAGCTAAACCAGATGCCCACCTGCTGCAAAAGTGCTGGGCCCAGCTGTGGACCTCAGCCTTTTTCTGCCCGGGTGTCAGAGGCACCGGCACAGACGCACTCCCTGGCAACGGGGCAGGCAAATCCTTCTCGAAGGAGCTGAGCAAGTATTTGAGTTAAGGACAAATTAATTCCAAGCTCTTCCTGTGAACCAAAAAGCAACAGCAGAGGGAAGAGGGAAAAAAAAAATTCCTTCTGTTGTGGGTGAGCTCATTTCATGCAAAGCCTTAATGTCGCTGTTGCTGTGGCAACTTCCAAATTGTAGGAGGGAGAATTGGCCAATTTTCCTTACATAAAAGCATCATGAGAATATTACAGCAGTGGGCTGTTCTTTATGACTCCTGAGTATCATCAAAAGCAATAGTTGAACCTTCCAGGTTTTAACAAAGGAGTTTTGAAGTTCACTTTGCTCAGGAGTACATTAAGGAGGGCTCTGGTGAACCTGGGGGAGGAGGACAAGCTACGTCCCCATAGCAGCTGTGAGGTGGGAGATGGTCTGAAGGAAGACAGCACTGGTGAGGACTTCTCTGCTGGATTTTGGTAACGTGCTTCAGCTCTGCTGTTTCGGGTTCAATGGCCAACCTAAAAAGTATTTGATTCAGCCCTTCTAAAAACCACAGAACCACAAAGAATCACAGAATGGTAGGGGTTGGAAGTGACCTCTGGAGATTATCTAGTCCAACCCCCCTGCTAAAGCAGTTTTACCTAGAGAAGGTGGCACACGATGGCATGCAGGTAAATTTTTAATATCTCCAGAGATGGAAGACTGTAGGTCTGGTAGGTACTTTGTGGATCTAAAAACTCATTGCAGTTGGACAAGGAAAGAAAATCCTTCATTCAGAAGTTTCTGCTTCACTAGATTCAACACATTCCTCATCCTATACATTTTGCAAGATCCCTGGTGTCAGCAGAAGGTGGCTTTCCTGGGGTGTGTAGGGGTTAGGAGAGAAACCACAGATGCACAGATTGGTTTGGGTTGGAAAGGGCCTTTAAAGGTCATTTAGTCCAACCCCCTGCCATGAGGCACATTTTCAACTAGATCAGGTGGCTCAAAGCCCCATCCAACCTGACCTGGAATGTTTCCAGGGATGGGGTTTCTCCCACCTCTCTGGGCAACCTGGGCCAGTGTCTCACCAACCTCAGCATAAACAGTTTATTCGTCTCTAGTCTGAATCTCCACACTTCCAGTTTCAAATCATCATCCCTTGTTCTATCTCTACAGGCCCTGCTGAAAAGTCTGTCTCCATAATCCTTACAGGCTCTTTCAGGTACTGTAAGGTGCTCTAAGTTCTCCCCAGAGCCTTCTCTTCTCCATGCTCAATGACCCCATCTCTCCCTGCCTGTCTCTAGAGCAGAGGTGCTCAAGTCCCCAGACCATCTCTGTGGCGCCCTCCGGACTCACTCCAACAGCTCCATGTCCTTTTTGTGTTGGGGACGCCAGAGCTGGACCCAGCACTGCAGGGGGGTCTCACTAGAGCAGAGCAGAGGGGACAATCCCCTCCCTGGCCTGGCTAGTCCCACTGCTGGGGATGCAGCCCAGGACACGGTTGGCTTCTGGGCTGCCAGCACATGTTGCTGGCTCATTATGAGCTTCTCATCACCCAACACCTCCAAATCCTCTTCTGTTTCTGCTTTCCAATGCCAGACCAGATGAAGCAAAGCCAGGTGTGTGCTCATCCATCTGCAAAGCAGTTCCTTCAAGAAGAGGCATCCAAGCCCACCTTGCTTGGTCCTAAGGACCAACAGTTTCATTCCACTCTCCCAGTAAATATTTTCTTCCTAAGACCATCTCAGTCTCCCCTCTTACAGCGTGAAACTGTTCCCCCTTGTCCCATCACTCCTTGCCCTTGTCAAGTCTCTCCCCAGCTTTTCTATAGCCCCTGCAGGTCCTGGAAGGTGCTCTAAGGTCTCCCTGGAGCCTTCACTTCTTCAGCATCAAGAACCTCAACTGTCTTAGCTCTGTTGTAAGCAAAAGGTGACTTTCTGCAGTGAGCTGAGCTTTGGAGCAGCCTGCATCAGCACACAGAAATGAAGATATTTCAGACAGAGATATGTTCTGTAAT